CCCTGTCTGAAAAAACCAAAAAAAAAAAAGGTATTGAAGCAAATGTATATGAGGCCACAGATGACAGATGGTGACACAATAGGTTAAGGGAACAGCTTCCCACAGAAGATAACTGAAACTTGTGGACGAGAGGGGATTCTGTGGAGGTGCAGAGGCCTAAAGGGGGTGCTTGCCGTGTTCGGGGAACAGCAGTGTGACCTAGAGAGTAAGCTGGTGAAACCTGTTGCAATGGCGCCCTCTGGTGTGTGTTTTCATGCTGGCATCAGGGCCGTAGCAGGTGTTACACCTGAAGACCTGACAGGGTATGCGTGCCTGTGGAGGTCAGAGGACTAAGGGGTTCTTTCCTTCTGCCTGGGGATCAAGTTCAGGCTGTTGGATTTGGTGGCAAGAGCTGTTACCCTCTGAGCGAAACCTCTCACTACCCCACTGTAAACCCTTTTGAGAGCCTCCAACATCCCATTTCTTTGGCTCTGTTCAAAACAAAACACCCCCCAAGAGGTGAGTCTGCTCTCTCTACCATTCTCACTGGACTGAGGAGCCAGACTAGTGGCCCAGAGCGGCCTCTCTGAGAGCCCCAAAGGGGAAATGGAGTCAGGAGCCAACCATGAAGGGATGGGGGAAGATCCTCCAGCAGAGGAGACTCACTGATCCCCGGAGGGAGGCTCTGTCCCTCAGTGCATCCCCTCTCCCCCTCCCCAGCCCCTGGACAGGGTCCCAGCCAGGAGAGTGACTCTGGCAGAATTCCTGACCCCAGGCAGGAGGTTTGTGAGGAGCAGCTCCATGGGTTCCAGGCTCCGGCAGCAACCACATTTCACCATCCTTATGTTTCCAGATGGGAGTGAGTGTTGTGGACTCCTCTGTGGCTGGACTTGGAGGCTGTCCTTACGCAAAAGGGGCCTCTGGGAACTTAGCTTCCGAGGACCTGGTCTACATGTTGACTGGCCTAGGGATTCACACGGTAAGCCTGCCTGCCCCCTGGTGGTAACATCCCTGGACTAACTGGGGCTGCCCTGGACCTAGAGGATGGGGTGATGGGCATGCTTAGGGCTTGTGGCCTTTAAGAGAAGGGTGACAGGGATTGTGGGAGCTTTGTATTTCTGGAAGAGCAGAGGAGAGACTAAACAACCATCTAGGAGAGTGGAAAGTGGCTGGAACGGGACCTTGTGTGGTTAGAGGCCCTGGCAGAGCTGCCTGGGGTGTTTATAGGAATAACCATAGACAAGGGTGTCAGTGGTTAGAGAGACTTGGTTGGTGGCCTTGAAGGAGTAGACTAAAATTCCAAGGATGAGAAGGAGCCAACTAAAAAAGTGAATGAGGAGAGAGGTCTCTGGCAGAGGAAGCAACATGGCGGAACATGGTTGAACATGGTCATGAGCGCAGGAGACCAAGGTCTCAGAGTGATGCCCACAGTTGAGGTCTAGGAGGCCCCCCAGGAAGTGGATGGGAAAGAGCCTTAAGAGGGCCAGCTTCACGACCTGCAACGAGTCACCTCCCCTGAGGACAGTGAAAGTAGCTGCACAGGACTTCACCAGACTCTGTAGGAACCTCAGTGGTCATGTAGAAATCACCCAGTGTCTCTGCTTTGAGATCTGACAGTTTAAAACCTAGGTCTGTTCTCACAGGCTGTGCAACCTCAGGTTATTTCATCTCTCTAACCCTGAGGAACGGCAGTAAAAGTAGCGCTCGTGGGTTGTTACAGGACACAAGAAAGTGTGTGGCCAGGTATAGGTGAGTGGTGAGGCCTGGGCTCAGTCTCTAGCACAAGAAGAAACCATGTACAGTGCTTAGCACCCGGTACTCAGCAGCAGATAGGAATTACTCTTACAGTTGTGTAGGGATGAGGAAGCGGTTCAGTACTAGAACCCTTGTACCATGAGCAATGGTTTGGGTGGCTCAGGAAAAGACAATAGATGAACATTACAAAGCGAATAGATGAACATTGCATCCCCCAAGGGCCAGGCCCCGTGCTAGACCCTGAACATGGAGATAGAAGACTGATAAGGTCCCTCTTCTGGTGGTGGTCCCACAAGCCACTCTAAAGACAGAACCCTGGTGCCCGCCGGACACACCCTCCTAGACAGTGGTTGCAACAGCGGCCTGGGTGCTGTAACCTTCCCTTTCCCCGTGCCACAGCTGTCTAGTCTCTTTCCCTAGGGGTTGAGGGCATGCCCTGACTTCCCTCATCCTATAACTTATTTCTTCAAGGGTGTGAACCTTCAGAAGCTCCTCGAAGCCGGGGACTACATCTGTCAAGCCCTGAACAGAAAAACCAGCTCCAAAGTGGCACAGGCCACCTGCAAACTCTGAGCCCTTGTTGGCCTGAGACTGGGGACTGTGGGAGGTGGCATGCACAAATGATTCCTTGATGGGAGAAATGGAATGGGGACAAATGAACAGGTGTCACAAAGGTCCTAGACAGAACGGGCTGGGGCTGGCTGAGTGGCCTTGGAGCCTGGAAGTGTCCCTTCACAGTGGACCAGCTCCGCAGAGCTGAGTGCCTGAGCGCTGGCTTGAGATGGCCCGGGGTCTCCTGGGCGAATCTGCTAGCTAACAGAGCTGATGTCCACCCTGCCTTGGCCGTGGGTCCTGTGCTCTGCATGGGAGAACAGAGCTGTTTTCCTCCAAGCCAGCAGAGCATTTGCTGAAATGGTGGGGGTTGATCTGTGGTGGTGGCCATCTGCCAACCCCAGCATCTCTGGGAAATCTTCACTCTGTACGTGATTTTTGAAAACAGCTTATGTAATTAAAGGTTTAATTTTCTAATATCCAATCATGCAAATGTGTGTTTGCTTATGAGTGGGAGAATAAGGTCATTCTGTGGGAAGAGTGAAGGCTTTGACTGGTTCCTGTCTGGATCTCTTCCACACGGAACCCCCAGTTCAGTGGTTGGAAATCATGGCTGTGGGTTAATCCCCGAGACCAGCACGGTGACTGGTCAGGACACCCAAGGAGCTGCTTCTGAGGCTGTACCTGTACCCAGGTCTCTTACTGGCTTGGATCTAGCCAGGTAAGCTAACAAATTACCAGTGAGCACCTAGGAATCTGTCTGTCCTGGCTTCCCCACTTCTAGGATGACAATTTTCAGCTTGACTTTTTTTTATTTAGTTTTTTAAAAGATTTATTATAGATACACACTGTTCTGCCTGCATGTCTGCTTGCACACCAGAAGAGGGCACCAGCTCTCATTACAGATGGTTGTCAGCCACCATATGGTTGCTGGGATTTGAACTCAGGACCTTTGGAAGAGCAGCAATGCTCTTAACCTCTGAGCCATCTCTCCAGTCCAGCTTGAACTTAAAAAAATTCATTTTGTTTTCATATGAGTTCTGGGTATCAACCCCAAATCTTCATGGACTTGTAATCTTTTTAAGCTCCACATTGGTTTTGATATGTGGTCTAAGCTGGCCTTGACCTCAACAATTCTGCCTCTGCCTCCAGAGTGCTGGGATTGCAGGCAGGAGCCAACATGCTCAACTTCTTGCCTCCTTTTAAACATTGTTTAAGATTCCGTTGTTACTGTTTCTTGAGACAGGGTCTCCCTGTGTAGCTCTGGCTGTCCTAGAGCTCACCCTGTAGACCATGCTGACTTTGAACTCGCAGAGATCCATCTGCCTCTGCCTCTTGAATGCTGGGATTAAAGAAAAGCACCATTACTGCCGGGCTTTTATTTACTTTTAATTTTATGTTCATTAGTGCTTTGCCTGCATACATGTTTGTATAAGGGTGTTGGATCCCTGGAACTGGAGTTACAGACACTGTGAGCTGCCTTGTGGGTGCTGGGAATTGGTTTTATGGAAGAACAGTCAGTGCTCTTTTAACCCCTGAGCCATCTCTCCAGCCCCTGAGATTAATTTTTAAGTATGTACACACACACACACACACACACACACACACACACACACGTGTGCGGGTATATGCAAGTGTAACTACAAGGGCTGAGGGGTCCAGAAGAGGTTGGGGATCACCTGGAGCTGTCTGCCCAGACAGCTGTGAGCCAAGCAGACTAGGTCGGTCCTCAGCAAAAGCACCTGCACCAGCTCTAATAGCTGAGCTTTCTTGAAGCTTTTCCTCCTCGCTTAAAAAAAAAATAGGGGGCACTGACTGAAGGAGCCCCAAGAAAGTGGCTTGAGATCCCTGGAGCCGCACTTACTGCAGGTGTTTGTGAATAGTAACAAGTAGCATTGATGGATTCGCTATCTTCCAGCTTCCCCACTTTTTTTTTTAAGTTTTTAGGGTTGTTGGGGGACAGGGTCTCACTATCCATGGCTGGCATGGAACCCACTGTGTAGATCACGCTGCCCTCGAACTCACAGAAATCCGCCTGTCTCTGCCTCCCAAGTGCTGGGATTGAAGGCATGTGCCACCAGGAAAGATTCATTTATGTATACGAGAGAGAGCGTCAGGTATGTGCAGGCGGCCATGGAGGCCAGAAGCGGGCATAGGATCCCTTGGAATGATAGGCAGTGTGTGGGTGCTGGAAAAGGACTCAGATCCTCTGCTGCAGCAGCAAGCGCTCTGAGCCATCTTCCAGCCCCGCCTCTTACTTTAAACCGAGACAAAACTCTCTTGAATTGCTATACGGTTGGCAGGTGCAGACACACTTTTGGGGGAGGGAGGGAGGCAGTGGCTCAGTGATGGGCACAGTAATTGTTACTGAGGATTTAAAGGTTCCTTCCCGCTCCAGGGTTTTTCCCCAAGAGGACTTGGATCCCCGTCGCAGCCCGGGCCAGCCCTGCCCTCCAACCAGAACAGCCCGAAGGGTTTGACAGATGCGGGGAAACTAGGAAGCCAGCGGCTCAGAGTGAAGCGGGCGCGATCATTCGGAGTGCAGCTGCCAGGGGCAGAAACTAGAAAGGCCACCCTCCTGGCACTGTTACTCCTCCGCAACTCGCGACTAACCGGAGGGCGTCTGCACCCCTCACTTCCGCCCTTGACGAAAACGTACTGCGCAGTCGCCTAAAGCCTGTGCAGGTCTTTTGTCCCTCTAGGGCCGCCGTAGAGCAAGTAACCTTGTAGACACGTTTCCTGGAAGGCGTGAAAGGGGCGTGGCCAGTCTGGGCTGTCAGTTCTTAAAGGGGCCGCCGCGCTGGTCGCGGGAGGCGGCACCTGGAGCCAGCGCGGGATCCTGTGCAGGTTTGGGTAGCAGAATGAAGGGCTTAGTGGACTCCGAAGGGCCTGTGGTCGGCGGGAGGCGAGGGAGTTCCAAGAGCGACCGTGCGCGTTCGAGACAGAGCCAGGCCCGCCCCTTCTGCTCGCGTTTCCCGCGGCCCTGGTGGGGGCCACCCGAATCCATTCATTCCGGGCCGGGCTCCCCGCTCGTGCTGCCAGCCCAGGACCAAAGTCCAGCGCTAAGCTGGGCCGCGTCCGGGCTCTTGGTGCCCAGCGACCTCTCCCTTCCATTGTACAGACTGGGGAACTGAGGAGGGGGACAGCTGACCAAGGTTACCCCGCCCCCCCAGGTCTGGAGCGGAGCGGCCTCAGATCAGCTTTTCTGATTCCAGGGCCCCTGGGTGACCACTTCACTGCGTCCTTGCGCAGCGCAGGAGCAGCGGGGGGCAGCGGGGAGAAGGCTAGGGGCTCCCACCCAGCCAAGGTCTCACTGCTGTGTGATCCCAGGCAGACCGTCTTCGGACTCTGACCCTAGTACCAAGTGCTGGTGGAAACACCCGCCTCATCCAGATGTGGGGGAAACTTGGGGCGGGGAGAGCCTGGTATGCAGTGGGTGCCCAGTCCAGTGGGCTGCAGCAGAATGACCCCAGCAGCGACTGGAGACAGCCTGGAGAAAGACGGCAACAGGCCAGATCTCGAGAATGAAAGGCCTCAGTGTGTGGATTTCCTTTGGCCGCCCAGCAGTTTGCTTAGGGCGGGGATGCACACCTGGCAGTGGAGAGCGGGCCAAATCCACGTCGACACCGGCCCACTGGGTGCTGCCCGAAGTTGGGCGGGATCTGTAGCCTCAAGCCGGGGAGTGACCCAGAGGGGCCAAAGCTGAGTTACTGGCTGCCCCAGGGTGGAGAAGCCCTATCCACTCCAGGGCTGTTGGTACTGTACCCTCAGAGCTAGGCTCAGCCTCCCTGGCTCCGGACCCCACCCTTGAAGTCATTTGCTGTATTTTCTGCCTCCTCCCAACTGACCTTCAAGTGGAAGGGCTGTTGAAAACTAGGTATTAGTCACCCAACTCAGGAACCGTTTGCTCCTGGGAGAAGACCTGAGTTTATAAGGACAAACACCTTTCTCAAATTCTAGCATCCCAATCCTGAAGCCATCTTCTCTTCTGCCCAACCTCCAGAGAGAGAGGCAGGAAGGGTGGGTCCCCCAAAGTCCCCTCTTCCTACCCCATATCAATGAGAACTAGACAATACGGTGTGTCTCCTGCATGGACAGACCTGTAAATCACCTCACTGGGCCCTCCATGGTATAGTTGTAGAGATGGAAGCTACTGGCCTAGAGAGGGTAGGGGCCTTTCAGCCCCATAGTCAAAAAGTAAGAGTTACGCAGTCAGACCCAGGGCTGACTTGGGAGCCCCTCCTTAGACTAGGACCCACAAATGCATCCTCCAAGATGACATTAGGGGGACCGGCATCCCTGAGGGAGGCCGAGCAGATACCCTCAGCCACCTCTGAAACTCTGCGTCCTCTAACCAGGCGCCATGGCAGAGAAGGTGCTGGTCACAGGCGGGGCCGGCTACATTGGCAGCCACACAGTACTGGAACTGCTGGAGGCAGGCTACTCCCCTGTGGTCATCGACAACTTCCATAATTCCATTCGTGGTGAGTGAGCTGGATGGGAAGAGTGAGTGGTTTCTGGAGGGGCTGTATCCAGGACTCCATCTTCCTTCGTTATTTTCACTTATTTGTTTATTTATTTATTATATAGTGTGCTGGTTGGCATGTAGATGGCTGTGAGCCACCATGTGGTTGCTGGGAATTGAACTCAGGACCTCTGGAAGAGCAGCCAGTGCTCTTAACCTCTGAGCCACCTCTCCAGCCCCCATCTTCCTTCTAATACTCATAGCCTCTATATGCCCCACCAGGAGGGAACTCCATGCCTGAGAGCCTACGGCGGGTCCAGGAACTGACAGGCCGCTCTGTGGAGTTTGAGGAGATGGACATCTTGGACCAGGCAGCCCTACAGCACCTCTTTAAGAAGGTGGGTGCTAGTTGGATGCGGTGGTGCACGCCTTTAAACCCAGCACCAGGGAGGCAGAGGCAGGTCTATCATTTCTGAGTTAGGAGCCAGTCTGGTCTACATAGCAAGTTCCAGGACAGCCAGGGCTCCATAGAGACCCTGTCTCAAAACAAACAAACGGATGAAAAGGTGGGTGCTGCTTGGCAGGTAGGAGGAGCACTGCATGTTCTGAGCCTCCCTCTGACCCTTGCTTTACCCGTGCAGCACAGCTTTAAGGCCGTCATTCACTTTGCTGGGCTCAAGGCTGTGGGCGAGTCAGTGCAGAAGCCTCTGGATTATTATAGAGTTAACCTAACAGGGACCATCCAGCTTCTGGAGGTAAGAGGGAGGGGACACAGACCCGGCTGGGCCCGAGGTTGTCTGGCATGCCGGCCACAATAGGGGCCTGTGCGGGAGCGTCAGACACAACCCAAGCTGTCTTATCTTAGACACATGCCTTTCTTTACCTCCCAGCCCGTTTCCCTCTCTGTAACTGAGCATGGCCGTCGCCTCAGCCTCACCCTCCTAGGGTGGAGTAACAAGTGGGACTAATTGGTGAGGCACAGGCCACTGACCCTCCCCTCCACGGCCAGATCATGAGGGCCCACGGGGTGAAGAATCTCGTGTTCAGCAGCTCAGCCACCGTGTACGGGAACCCCCAGTACCTGCCTCTGGACGAGGCCCACCCCACCGGGGGTTGTACCAACCCCTATGGAAAGTCCAAGTTCTTCATCGAGGAGATGATCCGGGACCTGTGCCGCGCAGACTCGGTGAGCGCCTCTTGTCCCAGCTTTCATCCCATTCACTTTGAGCTCAGGGTTAGGACCCTGGGCACTCTCACAAGGAGACAGAGGCTCAGAAGTGGTAATATCGTGCCCAAGGTCATAGCAACTGGTATGCAGGTGCCATCCCTTGCTCGTGCATAGAGAACACAGAACGGACATGGGTGAGGTAGACGCTGTGGATTGAGTTGGGACTCACTGTGTGCCGGGGCCCCACTGTCTGACCCGCACCACACAGGCCTGGAACGCGGTGCTGCTTCGGTACTTCAATCCCACGGGCGCCCACGCCTCTGGCTGCATCGGCGAGGATCCTCAGGGCATCCCCAACAACCTCATGCCCTATGTCTCCCAGGTAGGGGGTAATCCTGGGGTGCACTGGCGTACCACCGGTACCAGGGCCCTTGAGGAAGCTGACCTGACCTCTGCCCTAGGTGGCGATTGGGCGACGCGAGGCCCTGAATGTCTTTGGTGATGACTATGCTACGGAGGATGGGACAGGTGAGCCTAAGAGTCAGAGGAAGGAGGGAGGCTGAGGGGGCCAGACTTCCCATCTTCTAACCACTTCCTCTCCAGGTGTAAGGGATTACATTCACGTGGTGGATCTGGCGAAGGGCCACATAGCAGCCTTGAAGAAGCTGGAGGAGCAATGTGGTTGCCGGGTAGGAAGCCAGGGAGGGAAAGGGTTGGAATCCAGGGCAAATGTGGCATGTGGGGTGCATGAGACACCCCACCCAACATCCCGTTCTCTTGGGCAGATCTACAACCTGGGCACAGGCACAGGCTACTCTGTCCTGCAGATGGTCCAAGCCATGGAAAAGGCTTCAGGGAAGAAGGTAGGCTCCTCGGCTCGCTTCTCCTCCAGTCACCTTGAACTTCAGCGCTGGCGGCTTGCGACATAGCTCGAGGTTCCCGGGGCCCAGGGCCTGCTCAGCTAAGTGTCCACTGCCTCCCTTACAGATCCCATACAAGGTGGTGGCACGGCGGGAAGGTGACGTGGCAGCCTGTTATGCTAACCCCAGCCTAGCCCATGAGGAGCTGGGCTGGACAGCAGCCTTGGGGCTGGACAGGATGTGTGAGTGTCTGCCTAACCTGGAGGGGTGACGAGCAGCTCTAAGGGCACCTCTGGTGTGGGCTGTCCTCGGCAGGCCCTGACCACCCATGTCTGCGCAGGTGAGGATCTGTGGCGCTGGCAGAAGCAGAACCCCTCAGGCTTTGGGGCCCAAGCCTGACGGCCTCCTTACCAAGGACCAACAGAAGAGGAGCAGCTGCCCGCTTTCCAGCCTCCACAGGACCCTGTGCCCCATGCTCTGGGGCCAAGCTGAGGCCACCCTACCTCAAATGCCAGCTCAGCCCTCCAGGCAGGAGACCTCTGTCAGGCTCCACTAAGCAGAAAGGAGCCTGGGTCTTTCCAGCCTATCTCCCCCATGGTCCAGGAGCTCACAGGACCCTCGAGCCTGTGAGGGCCCAGCGGTCTGGGACCATAGCCTCACCCAGGCACTAACTTATACTGTTATGATTGAACTTTCCAAAGTACCTAAAATAAAGATGTTTTCTTATCCTGGAGCAGGTTCTCACAGATGCTCACTCTGCGCTAGCTACATCAGGCAGGCCTAAGAGTTGAGGAAGCAATTTCTTTAATTTTATCGGAATCCAGGACAAACAAGAAAAACACCCAAAACCACATGGAGACAGAAGACAAGACACAACTCCTCCCCCCACCTCCCTGGCCCTGGAGTGGGGACATAGTGGGGGTGAGACAGCGGAGGGGGGGGGCAGGGGCCCTTGAACCTCAATCCAGCCCTGCAGGCTCCAGGCCTACAAGGAAGGGCCATGGGGAGGCAGGGCCCAGCCCCCCTGGGGGAGGGGCTAAGGGGAGGCCCTGAGGGACTCTACCTCCTCACCAACTCGCCTGCACAGGAGCAGGCAGCCCATAGTAGCAAGGGCCCCGGCCATGAACACATTCGTGACAGAGAAAGAAGCAGCTGCAGTGAGGCAGGAGAGACGCGATTATCCGGGCAGAATTACTGGGGTGGGGGGGCCCATGAGGGCCCCACGGGCCAAACCCTGAGGTCGCAGGAGGGGGCCCAAAGCGGGGCTAGTGAGTGAGGTCCTGAGTGAGTGGGTCAGCAGCTGGGCCCCTCTCTCCCGCTGCCTACAGCCCCTCCAATACTGCTGCTGGGGCCCGCCTCCGGGGAAGTGGATAAGAGAGCAGCCCACCCCTGCTGCTGACTTTCAGATGACTGAGGCCAGCAGGAAGGCCTGGCCAGCCTCGGCCACCTGCCCCAGAGGCCTGTGGGAAGAGGACAGGGTGGGAAGAGAAGGGACGGGCTCGACCGGCTCAGATCCAAGATGGTGCCGCGCTTGCTAGGTCCCTTGTGAGCTGGGGACTGCAAGGGGAGCCAGCAACTAGTTAGACCGGAGGCAGGAGCTTCTCTAGAAATTCCTTTACAGCTGCCATCTCCTGAGATGAGAGGACATTGTGAGGCTCCTTGCTGCAGGAAGGAGGGGGAGCACAGGAGTAGGCCATCCCCACTGACCTGAGGACAGGAGCTGTGCATGACACCTGGGTATGTCTTGAACTGGACCCTGGCAGGTGTGACAACAGACCGGAGCTTCTCAGCCGTCAGGGCCCCGAACCGAACAGGTACCATGGGATCCAGCTCCCCATGGCACTGAAGGATGGCCAGGTCCTTGGCACTACCATTGGCTGCCTGCGGCCAGAAAGAATTTCCAAGGCAAGGTCAGTGCTACGTGCAGCACGGTGGCCAAGCCACAGGGACCCGCAGGAGAGGACGGGCTTGTGGGGACACTCACCTGGGGAAAGGTCCGATGCAGAGGCAGCCAACAGCTCAATGCCACGATGCCGGCCAAAGGGTGGGGGCAGGTAAGGGCTGTATAGAGGGACAGGGCTCCGCCCTGGGGAGAAGAGAATAATAGGTCAGGAGGGAACAGCTCACACACCCAGCCCCTCCCCCTCACACCCTCCTCACCTGCGAAAAGCCACCCAGGACGATTCGATTGGCAGGGATCCCGTTCTTCATCTCATGTTCAATCAAAGCCTTGACTGCAGGGGGTGGAGGGAGGCATGGCTGGGTGGAGGAGGCCGCTGGGGGCTTGCAGGGAGCAAGTGGGCACTGCCCAATGCTTTGGGAAGGGAGAGGTGGGGAGGGGACAGGGAGGGCTGCGGCCTTACTGTTCTCCGCTGCCTTCTTGATGCCAACTTCATCTTCTGGGGCGTCTGGACTCAGCCCCATCAGGTCAAACCTGGGCAAGCAGAGGCAGCAGATTTTGGAAGACCTGGCCAGCCCTGCAGCTCCCTCAGTTCCCAACCCTTTCCTGTCCCAAACTCACCAGGAAGGCATCACCATCTTCATGTTGAGTGTCACAGGGATCCTGGGCCTGTGGAGGGGTGGCCAGAGGTCTCAGGAGGGATAAAGCATCAGTGGAGAGCCTGGGAATGGGCAGAACTGCCCTTGGGGCCCCCCCCTCCCAGCAGGCAGGGCCTGTGTTTCAAGTGTTGCCAGGCAACCTGCCACGTGGGGCTGGAGGCTGGGGTTGGGGCATCAGCGGTGTGGATGGAGAAGCAGAGACTAACACCGGGTGACAGGGTCCAGCTCAGAGGGTGAGTACTTGGGGGGGGGGGTCTTTTTAGGAGGTCTTGGGTCCAGGAAGCCTTGGGGGTGAAGGCAGGAACTGGAGTCCATTCCTGGGCTCTAGGGAGGTGAGGCTGGACAAGACCTGACTGCTTTTAGCCCCAGCCCCAGGAGGCAGCCGATGGAAAGAACCAGGCCTAGGACTGGAGGACCACTCCCCCCAGCCCCTCTCCAGCTGGGGTGGCACTCACGCGTGGGGACAGATGTACTTGACATGAGGAAGCCGGATGGTGGAGAGGGCATCAGCCCAGCTGTGCCTGTGGGAGGGAAGAAGAGGCACCCTCGTAGGAGGGGTTGAGAGGGACAAACAATGGCCTTGCAGCCCCACCTGGTGAAGGAGCATCTGGCCCCTCAGCTAACTCACCCCGTGTCTCCAAGTCCATGTAAAAAAATAACCTGGAAAAATGACAACAGTGGAATGATGGGAAGGTTCCCCCTTTAGATCCTCCAACTCCAGCTCACCCCTTCCCTGACCCCCAGGCCTGGGGGGACCAAAGTGGGAGCCAAGAGATTATTAGCTTCAGGCTAGTTAGCCCCCTCTCTTGTTCCCCACACTGCCTACAGCCAGTTGCCTCCCCCAAGTCTGGCGCAGGGGTCCTTACCGCGGCCGTTTCCCGCTCAGCTCCAGACACGGTGGCAGCGTCAGTGAGCAGGGGCACAGACATGGTGTTACCACACATACACTGCAGGGCTTCCTGCAGGCTGGGCCTGTGCAAGGGAAGGTAGCAGGTCAGGCCAGAGAAACCTCCTGGCTTAAGAAGCCCACCGAGGCCATCAGCTCTACACATCTCTGCGGTTTGATTGTGAGCCAAGGGAAAATACAGGCGAAGAGAAGTCTGGGGCAGAGGGGTAGAAAGTTCGTCCTTGCCAGGAGGTGGTGGCACACACCTTTAACACCAGCTCTCAAGAGTTGGAGGCCAACCTGTTCTAGAGAATGAGCTCCAGGACAGCCAGGGCTATACAGAGAAACCCTGTCTTAAAAACCAAAAAAGAAAGTTGGCCCCATCCCAAAGTTGAGAAGTAGGGGCAGCCATCCTAATGGTCTAGAACTCACATGCCTGATTCTGACCTAAGGAGGGTACAGGTGGGCTGGCACGGGGGTTGGAAGTGGGGTCAGGAAGGAAAGGCAGGACGTTTCCTGCAGCCTTCCCCCATAAGCCGCTGAGGGCTAACGACCTCCTCCCAAGGTCCCAGGTGTCCCCTTCCGGGAACCCCTGGAGCCCCTCTTGCCTGAACCCCGGCCCTAGGAAACAGGCTTTCAGCCCCATCTACCTCCATCTTCTTCCCCTCCAGACCCTATCCGGTCTTCACAGCAGATCCTGGCTCAGTAAGAAATTCCTAGGGCCTCCGGAAGCCACCCATGTCCCATGAGAGCCTAACAACTCTCTTCTGCCATCTTCCACCACAAACTGGTGCTCCAAGCCTCCCACCTCCACGGGGCTACCTGCTGTTGCTGCTGCCACTGACTCCAAACGGGTCTCCAAATGAACAGGTGTTGGGACTCCCAACACAAAAGAATATCAGGCTGGCTGGCCCCTCCCCATCCTTAGCATCCTCCAAAACTCCGGAAGCTTCCGCTACCTGCCTCTAAGTGTCTTCTTAAGGGCGCCCCGCCCTCCGGTAGGCTCCCACCTTCCAGCTCTGACCCCGATTGCCCCTTAAGGTTGAAAGATCACACAGCATCTTTCCACACCTCTGACCCTGAGGTTCCTCTTCCCACAGAGAACGCACTTGCCGTCCTAAGCTAGGATCCTCTTTCTCCTCGGCTCTGGGGACTCCCACCTCCACCCGGCTCCCACTCTCCAAAGGATGACCCGGCGTCTCCCATTTGCCACAGTGGGAACTTGGGTTCTGACCCAGGGTCATCGCATCCCTCCAGTGGCATCTGCTGCCCTGCCTCGGGGCTCGCACCTGCCCACAAAGGGGCACTGACCCGGGGAGCCTCCGCCCCACAATGGGGTCTCCCACTGCCCAGCGCGCAGACGCTCTCCCGCCACGCGCGCAGCCCCTGGCCCGGTGTCCCAGAACTGGACAGCGCCCTCCGGTCGCTCCCCGCCGCCGCCCCGGGACCCTCGCAGCCTCGCTGCACACATGGCTGGGTACCTCACTCCCAGGGGCTTCCGAGACCGTTCGGGCGATTCTCCCCTTTCTCCCGCACAGACACACACTCTTCCCCCCTCGGCCGCCCCCGCCGGAACTTCCGTTCGAGTCCCGGGAACCCAGCCATCGCGCTGCCGGAAGTAGCCTGGCCAGCGGTACGGAACCCGGAAGCGGGTTCGGGTTTCCCGGCTAGGAGCTGCCATGTTGCCCACCCTGGGACCACTCCCTGTGATGCGGCGCTGCCACCTGCAGTGTCTGAACATGACATGGGATTCCCAGATGCCCTGCCAGTCAAGCCCTCCTGGTCGACCTGCGTCCTGGAGGAGAGGCATCCCATCACAGTATTCTTTAGCATAAAGTTGGCCGTCTTCCCACCGCCATAGGGCAGGGCACACTCCAGGTGTGGTCTTGGGCATTGGCCAGTTTGGTTTCATTAAGTTACATACATTTTACTGTTTATGTCTACAACGCACAGTATTGTATGCATATATAGTAAAATGGTTACTGTAGTGGAACACTTTAACATCCCGGAGATTGGCTTCCCTCACAAAACTTGTGAATGCTTTTAACTAACACCTCGTGTACTTTAGATCTTTCTCCTTGTTCATCTTTCTTCTTGTTCATCCTCCATACTGGTTTTCAAACCCTATTTCAGTTTCACAGGATCATGGATGCCATCGGCCATACACCCTGACCTGAAAAGACCAGAGATCACATAGCTCTCCATGCTTATCTTTAAAGATGAGGAAATTAAGCCTTGGGAAAAGGAAGTAAATAAGTAGCAACCTCAAGATTACACTGTAATCTGCTTTTCCTGACCGGCTTCCTTGACTATAAAATGATAATAAGCACCTGCTATTTCATAACTTTGCTATTAAGCTCCAATGAGGCCATGTAAACTTGCTTTGAACACTGTAAAAATCACAGTGTGAGGCCTTAATCACTTGAAGACGGATCCTGGGAAAGAAAGCAGGCTGTATCAGGGTACTGAACAGCACCCTGCACCGGCAGTGTTGGCTTGACACCGTCCCTGTCAGATGAGGCCTTGCAGGTTGCACAAAATGCCACCATCTGAGAACTGAGAACAAAAGGGCTTCATTTGATCACTACTGAGTCACACTGGTGAAGTGGGAATGGGGCTTGGAGTCCAGTCAAGCTTAACTGAAGGACTGAATCCCTGAGAGAGCCAGTAGGGATCTGAAAACAGGAAATGAGTCACAGGGGTCCCTCAGCAACTGAAGACTCATCCTCCCAGTTTAACCTACACTAGCTTTTTCTGTGAACCCAAACAATGAAAGCTTGGAAGCTCAACAAAACACTTCCCCCCAGGCCAAGAAACAGCTTGTTCTTGAATTTAAGTTGACAGGTCGTGGAGATGGAACTTGCAATACTAGGATCAAGGGACCACACAGCAAGCCAGAGACCTGGAAGTGGGTGTCACAAAAGAGGATAAAAACAGAAGGAAACGGGATGGTGGTGGAGCGCACTTGTAATCTCAGCACTCAGGAGGCAGAGGCAGGTGGAACTCTGTGAGTTCAAGGCCATCCTGGTCTACAGAGCGAGTTCCAGGACAGCCAGGGCTATACAGAGAAACCCTATCTCGACCCGCCGCCAAAAAGGAAAACATTACAATTCAGCTGCCCCACTGTCTGCAGAACCCTGCTGGGTTGGTTTGTGGGTGAAATACAGCTCCTCCTGTAGATTCATCATGAGCCACGTGCCACTTTGGCAAGTGACACTTCAAACCTGCAAGTCCAGTTCCAGGAGCTACATGTGAGCAGGTATTCGCAGAACAAATGGACTAGTGTTTTGAGGTGTTGGATATTTTTTGCATATGATGTATATACTTGCTTTGTTCACATAACAGAGAACATATTCAGATTCAGTCATCTGTTCTCAGAACTTGCTATGTAAACTGGACAGGCCTTAAATTCAGAGATGTGCCTATCTCTGCTTCCCAAGGACTGAAACTAAAGGCATGGACCATCATGCCCAGCAAACCTCATTTTTGGGGCAGTCTGCTTTGCTATTGTATTGTTTACTCCAGTCAAGCTGGTCTGAGCACTTCCTGGGGAAATCTGTCATTTCTGCCTATCTCACTAATTAGAGGTGCCTTTTCAGTTGGGTTCTGGGTATCCCAACTAAGGTTGTCAGGCTTGAGTAGCAAGCACTCTTACCCACTGAGCCATCTGCATGGCCCTGTTTTGAGGTTTTTAACTTTACATCACCTGAATCCAAAGGTGCTAGGAACCAAACCCAGGCTCTGTACATGCTAGGCAAGCACTCTTCTACCCTCACCTGCTAGCCCTTCTGCTAGTCTCGAATGTTCCACACAAAGCAGGCTGTGGCTGAGTAGATAACCTTCATGCACTATGTGTGCATTCTAGTTTATTTCAGAACTTTGATTCCCAACAAGGCTTCCAGGGGCAGACCCGTTGTCAAGACCTGCATATCCTCCTTGACTAGGATGGTCACCCCGGAATTCCCCAGGATCAGAATCAGCACTCATTCCCTTACCAACACTCTTTACTTAATGAAAAAAACAAATCAAAACAAAACAGGGTCTCAACACTTTGTGACACTCGGATTCTCACCAGGTACTAACTGTTCTCACTAGCCTCATCCTCATTTTGTTCAACACCTCCAGAATCTCTCCTGTGTTTAACATTATTTTATGTATATGGGTGTTTTATCCACTTGTAAGTTTCACAGTACTAGGAGCACAGAAGAAAAGATGAACTTAAGTCTGACAAGAATTTATTAGGAAGCTCATTAGTCACAGTGAATAAAAGCCATGAACAGAAAAACTAGGATCTCCAGATTCCAGCACTGAGTTTACAACACAAGTTAGAAGCAAGTAAACACCAATAAGGTCCCAGGGGTAATTTCTAGTAAATCCCAATCTCACTCCAACCAGGTCACCCACAAAGGAAAATTACTCCATTTCTCCCACATGCTTGGCTAGACAGTGAAAGGAGACCTCCCCCCAAGTGGTCATTTACCAGGAGACTCATTCCTTACCAACCACCATCATGGGACATTTGTATGTGACATATGACACCAGCTGGGCACCCTGACACAAATGCTGAGCAATGACAGGGAGGAGGAGCAGGGACATGTGTTTCTAGTTGGAGATCTTCCTGATGGCTAACACAGACACAAAACTCGGGTTTCAGGAGGATTCCTGCAGCCAAGGAAGCTTCCTTTTCTTAAAAAGGACAAATCACACAAAAAACTTGCCACAAGCAACAAGACACTTGGGATCCCATGGCCACACTGACTAGAAAAGCAAACGTTATTCATGACTTCCAGATGCCACTCAGTCTAAGCCCTTTTCTGCAGTGCCTTAGAGAACAACTGTCCCTTGGCACCCACACTGCTCCTGGTGGTGAGGCAGCTTCCACAGGCCAGGCTCCTGCAGCAACCCCAAGACAGAGCCTGGCCGAGGCTGTGGGCAGGCAACTCTTGCTGGAGCCTCCTCAGTCCTTCCCAGCAGGTGGTCTCACATCTTCACTCACAGTGCACCTGAAGGAGCCTGGGCAGCCCTTAAGAAATGAAGTGTGTCTGTGGGGTGACCTGATGGACCCGGTGGTCTGCTGGGTTAGCTGATGCTTCGTAATTGCAGATGGTCACCTCATGCCGGCGAAGCTATAAGCAAAAGTAAAGGTGAGGTCGGCGGCCACTAAGGAGCCTTCCTTTTCCAGAGCACATACAATGCAGCATCTTCGGTCAGACTGCCTGCCACACCCTCTCTGAGGCTCCCTCTGCTGACACTTTAATCTTGAGAAGCCAGCAAAGACCACTGTCTGCTACTAAGGATTCTCAGCAGCCAAGAAAATCCATGTGAGAACAGGAACTTGTCCAAGGAACTTACCACCTCTGATGCCCAGAACAAGGAACTGTCATAATGTGTGATGGGTACAACCCATGGCCTCCTACATACTAAGCAAGTCACTGAGCTACACCCACACCCTCTGTCAATACTAATGAAAATGTGAAACTTCAAAACTGAACTGATAGAAATTCTCTTAAAGTCGGGCACAGGTGGTGCACATTTTTAATCCCAGCACTCGGGAGGCAGAGGCAGGTAGATCTCTGTGAGTTCGAGGCCAGCCTGGTCTACAGAGTGAGTTGCAGGACAGCCTCCAAAACAATACAGAGAAAGCCTGTCTCAAAAAAAAAAAAAAAAAAAAAAAAAAGAAGAAGAAATTCACTTAATACCTATATGGAGCCAGCAAGACGACTCAGGTGCCTGCTGCCAAGCCTGATGACCTAAGTTCTACACTTGAAACCAATATGGTAGAAGGAGAGAAATGACTCCCACAAGTTGTCCTGTGAGGTATACATACTATAGCACACATATACTTATAGCCATATATACATAAATACATATGAAAATAAAATACATGAATTAGAAAAATAAAAAACTTGGATCTATCCAATAAAGAAAGTTATTATGATGAAATCAGGAAAAATTAAGAAGCCAGTCACTCAGGAGGCAGAGGCAGGTAGATCTCTGTGACACCCATGCAAGCCTGGTCTACATAATCAGTTCTAGGCCAGCTAGGGCTGTCTCAAAGCAAAGCAAACAAAAAAGAAGGAAAAATTATAAACAGATGGAACAAGCAACACCTTAGTCGCTCTTCTCTGGAGCTGCTGCCCCATGGGGTGAAGACACACATTTATCAATCCCTCTTACCTCAGTCCACTCTCCCCTCAGGCCAATGTAGAAGATCTTCGTGGTATCTGCTCCAAAGTTTTTTGAAATATGAATAGAAAGATGATAGACATTTGAAAACCGGGAAATTCTAAAGGATAGAAAAGGAAGAGGGAGAGAAGACAGTTTACCATGTGGTATGCATCCTACCACCAGGGAAGACAACAGTTCAGTCCCAACTTGCAGGCAAATATCAGAGGACACCTGGTCCTTCACCCCAGTTTCCTTCAAAGCAGCAATTTATGCTGTGAACACTTACTAGATATCTGCCAGAACTTGTCTAAGGCAGGAAGAACAGCCCAGCCAGGGATATATGGCAAGACTGTCTCAAAAAAAAAAAAAAAAAAGAAGAAGAAGAAGAAAAGAAAGAACATACAGAGCAGGGCGTTGGTGGCGCACGCCTTTAATCCCAGCACTCGGGAGGCAGAGGCAGGCGGATCTCTGTGAGTTCGAGACCAGCCTGGACTACCAAGCGAGTTCCAGGACAGCCTCCAAAGCCACAGAGAAACCCTGTCTCGAAAAACCAAAAAAAAAAAAAAAAAAAAGAGAAAGAAAGAAAGAACATACAATGCTCCTGGCTTCAAGAAACAGGAATGATGTGTGACCAAACAGGGTTCTAAGCCATGTTTATCATGTCAACTTCACCCTTAGGAGAACATCAAAGAAGAGACCAGGTGGGCACAGGTAACAGAGTCCGCCAAAAGCCCACTTTGCAGAATTCTGCAAACACTTTTGCTAAGCTATACTAGCTGCTCAGCCGGGACTGCCCAGCACTTCCAAGTTAACAAGTCCGTGATGTGCTGTGATCCCTGCCAAAAGTTGGCCATGCCAAGGACCAAGCTTCCTCTACTGTAACTCGATTCCAGGGATCAGAGGGCAGGACACAGGCCAAAGAAAGAGGGAAGGCTCACAGGCAGCAAGCTCACTACAATCAAGGGAGAAGCCATGGCACAGGCCAGGGCAAGGTAGCAGGTACTCTGGAGACAAACACACAGGAGAACCGAGTTCAAGGTCAGTCTGGACTTTATAACAAGACCCTTACCCAAAATGAAAGGAAGAAAAGACAGAGAGTGGACAGGTCCCATGCTTACTTTGTAGCATACTCTAATTCTCCTGTAATATCTCGGTTCAGACTGAAGGTCTGGTCAGGCTCCCTTTCTGTGTCATCAAAGGACATCTGTGGAATGTTCTTGTACCTGAGGGGGGGAAAGGGAAGAAAAGTCAAGGAATATGCATTATTAATTTTTCAGTGTTTTATAACTCCCTACTGACTGCTCAACTAGCCTCAGTTCCATCAAAAGGAGATCAAAAGTTAGAATCAAAATGGCATTTTGCTGGCATTTACATATAAACATCCCTAGGCCAACAACAAAGCTGAAAGGGGCAGTGTAAGCCTGCAGCCCTGGTTACCAGGGAGGCAAAAGCAAGAGGACTATCTGAACAAAGTTCATTTGGGACCACTTTAGGCAAATAGCAAGACCCCACCTTGAAAGAAAGAAGAGAAAGGAAAAGAAGGAGGGAGGAAAATGAAAACATCAAGAAAGCAAGCAGAGGAGGGCTAGGAACACAGCACAAGCCAGTGGCATCTTCAAGAGACTCGAGATCCCAAGAGCAAGGCAGAGAGCACTCAGCTGGGTCACATGCAGGGACTGCATGGCAAAGAGTCGATTCAGCACATTCAGCCCACGCTAAAATGTGAAGTAAAACGGCTTTCTCATGGGAAAATGCACACTTCAGCAAAAACATTACACACAGTTAAGAGATAAGATCAGGTGGCCCAACACTCATGCGGGTTTCACCTGAACACCGTATTATATTTCTTTTCTTTTTTTGAGATAGTGTCTCCCTATTATGTAGCCCTGGCTGTCCTGGAACTCGCTCTGTAGACCAGGCTGGCCCTGAACTCACAGAGATCTCCCTGCCTTTGCCTGCCAAGTGTTAAGATTAAAGGTCACCGTACCAAGCAATATGTCTTACAATACAATTGGGGTTTCCACTTCAAAAAGAGTACACAAAAGATCACAGACTCATAAAAGGTTTTGGAAAGTTAAACTGACAGTAAGGAAAATATTTAAAAACAAAAACACCTAACAAATTCTGCAGCACTCAGCTGAACATCCCTCCAGGTATTTTATTAACACACCCACAAAGGAGGGGCTATAATTTCACTGCAGCAGAATGTGTGTCATTTAAGAAAGCAAGTGTTTGCTTCAAAGTGTTTCCAAGAATGATCCACAGCAGGATAATAACAGTGCGCATTCACAAGCAGCATCATGAGACGGCATAGC